TCCAATCATATAAAAGAAGGAAGACCGACAATGAAACGATGACAAACTTTTCTTTTCTTAAACTGTTCTCGAAAAATTGTCATATTCCTCTTCGCAAGCAGATTAGCCTCAACGATGTGTTTCTTCGCTTTAGACTGCACTCCAATGTCTGCGGCAAGTGCACAGTTTCAAAGCGAGAAAAGTTTTCAATATATAATGACTTTCTATTTGAGCAGTTTTATCAAACTAAATATCGGTTTTAAGCACTTGCTCGATTTTGATCGTGCTAATACTATCGTATTGTAAGGACACTTCCCTGATATCATTGCTGAAAACTTTTAGACGACACGCTATACTTTTGGAGACACGCTTTCGAAACTGTACGAGGAAGATCACCACAAATATGACTGCTTTTAAATTGAGAACATTCGTTCTTATAAATCATTTGCGTTATTATAAATCGATCCTTTCATGTGCCATACATTTTGTCCTAATGCCAGTCCAATGTAACTGTTCACTTGTCCAATTAAACATGCTGAATGTGTAAAAGTTGTAGCTGATTCTCACCTTTCCATTATCAAATTGCAGTGACAGCTATCTGCATTCGCTGACAACAGCAAATGATGTTTAAGTCTCCACACAATGACAAAAACATTTGAGATTCACAAAAAACCTGAAAAATGATCGATTCAATGAAGGTTCTGTCTAACGCCGAGTCCAACTAAACTATTCTCAGGCTTTCTCGTTAAACGGGCCTGCAGAAGCCAGTTGATAATTCGTAGCAAAGCCTATGTTGCATCAGCTGCCGCTCGAAAAATTAGTAACAACCAAGACAAATTAGTAACAACGTCATAAAGGCTGTTAATCATACCTTTAATATCATAATGCTGTGGAAGTACACTGGAGCAAAAATATGCAAATTGAATCGAAAACATTAACCATAGGTACTCTTTTGTTGTGAATTACACTACACATTTTTCTACTTATTTAAATTTCAATTCATGTGCTTCAAATTTATTACTTTGAAAGACGACGGTTATCTTTAGCAGGAAACTAA